ACTTAGGTTGGGACAGACTAAACAGATTGATTGCTCTAGATGGCTGATAACCCTCAGGGAGGTAAGCTCTAAGCATTTTGTATGGACCTCCAAGTATATAGTCATTTACCTAAGAAGCAAGCAGCATCTTAGGTTTGGCATGTATTTGGGGGAGACAACCTGGGGAAGAACCCTTTTGTATCCCATAGGTCCTGGTCTCTATATACTTCAGAGCAGATTCTGGAAAGAATAAGGGCTTTGAAGTCGCATAGACCTCAGTTTGAAATCAGGCTATAGCAGAGCACAGAGGCCAAATTCAAAACCTTAAAATCACTGCCACAGAGGTCTGAGGGGCCAGCCCCAATCCCAACTATGTGGACACCTGCACCTCCCTCCAGAAGAACTTATTTCAGAGGACAACACTGAAGCTGCAGCTCAGGGAGAGGGACATGTCTGATCAGAGCACACGGGTGCAAATGAAGGGGGAGGAAGAGAGAGTGGAGCACATCCTGGCCCACCAAGCCTTGACGAAGAGATTCCTGCTCAGAACAGCCAATACACAGAGAAAACCATATGGCCAGCCCCACTATGAGACATGACATCCCTCACTGACCCATAGCCCTACAGGGGACAACACTGGAGACACAGTGTGGGAATTCCACCTGATCTGATCCCACGACACCAAGACAAAACACTAAGGGCGTGCAACAGAACAGCAAGGGGAACAGAGCAACGAGTCCCCAGGGAATACCAAAAATAGACTTTTGGGCCAGGGCTTGGCGCCCCATCAGACTCAACCGGAAAACACTTCTAAAGGCCAACAAGTAGTCCTTGAACTAACTTTAAGCTTTTATTTCTTGTTGTTTTGTGTTTTGTCATTGGCTTGTTGTTTTATTTTCTTTTGTTGCTTGGTTTTGCTCTGTTTTGTTTTTGTGCATGTTATTATCACCACAGGTCTGTCTAAATAAGATAGGTTGGATGAACAATCTGGAGGCGAAAACAACAGGACCGATAGTTCTGGGGGCACATGGGAGAGGGGGAGGTGGAGGGAAAGGAAGTGGGTTAACAAACCCAGGGAGAAGGGAACAATAAGTGATCCAAATCGGTGGTGAGGAGGGTGTAGGAGGCCTGGTAGGGCATGACCAAGGGTAATGTAACTGGGAGGAATTACTGAAACCCTAATGAAGGCTGAACATGATAGTCGGACAAGAGGAAAGTAAAAGAAAATAGAGGAAAGAGCTAGGAGGCAAAGGACATATATAGAGGTCTAAATAAAGGCATGTACATATGTAAATATATTTATATATGAGGATGTGGAAATAGATCAATGTGCATATATTTATAGGTTTAGTATTAAGGTAGCAGATGGACATTGGGCTTCCACTTATGTACTCCCTCAATGCAAGAATATTTTGTTCTATTAAACTGACATTCCATGATGCTCACCTTCTCGACACAATCACTGAAGACAAAATGGGTGCATAAGCAAATGTGGTGAGGAAAGCTGATGGTGCCTGGCTATCAAAAGATATAGTGTCTGGCACCTTAAAGGCTTCAAAGTAAACAAGAAGCCATCTAGGTCAGAAGCAACAAAGCCCATGTGGAAGAAGCACACCAGCCTGTGTGATCACAAGGTGCTGAAGGGATCAGGTATCAGGCATCAAAGAACAAAAATTTCTGTCATTGTGTGCTCACCTCCCCTATACGATCAACAAAGACAAAATGGGTGCATAAGCAAATGGGGTGAAGAAAGCTGATGGTTCCCGGCTATCAAAAGATATAGCGCCTGGGGTCTTAAAGGCTTGAAAGTAAACAAGTGGCCATCTAGCTCAGAAGCAACAAAGCCCATGTGGAAGAAGCACACCAGCCTGTGTGATCATGTGGTGTTGAAGGGATCAGGTATCAGCATCACAGAATAAAAAATCATATCATTGTGAATGAGGGGGAGTGCGGAGTGGAGACCCAAAGGTCATCTGTAGGCCACTGGACATCACCTTACAGAAGGGTTGCGGGGAGGAGATGAGCCAGTCAGCGTGCAGTGTAGCAATGATGAAACATATCTTTCCTCTAGTTCCTAAATGCTTCCTCCACAACCCACCCCTACTATCATAATCCCAATTCTACCTTACAAATCTGGCTAGACCAGGGGATGTACACTGGTACAGATAGGAACTGGAAACACAGGGAATCCAGGGCGGATGATCCCTTCAGGACCAGTGGTGAGGGTGACGAATGCTGGGAGGGTGGAGAGAGGGTGGGGTGTAGAGGAAACCCAATTATGAGGATCTACATACATCCTCCTCCATGGGGGATGGACAACAGAAAAGTAGGTGAAGGGAAACATTGGACAATGTAAGATATGAAAAAATAATAATTTATAAATTATCAAGGGTTCATGAGGGAGCGGGGAGGGGGGAGGAATGAGGAACTGATGCCAGGGGCCTACGTGGAGAGCAAATATTTTGAGAATGATGAAGGCAATGAATGTACAAATGTACTTTACACAATCGATGTATGTATGGATTGTGATAAGAGTTTTATATGCCCCTAATAAAATGATTTAAAAATAAATAAAATGGAGCCCAAAGTCAGCAAAAAAGTGTGCATGTTCATGGAACAACAACAAAAGAAATCAGTGCCACAACTCTGCTGTCCCCAGCGATGTGTCTGTGATGTGTCTGTCACCATTGTTGGAGATGTAGGCAGTATTTCCTTCTGTTGTACCTAGGATTGCTATGAGCCCAAACCTATCTGATGGCACCTAACAACAGCAATACACAAGAAGCCACATAAAAGGAAATTTCCTGTGATTTTTTTTTGTAAGACAAAAATCCAGAAAAAAACTTAACTATCCATATTCATAGCTTTGGATAAGTCAGATCTAAATGGATCATTATAGATCTCAAAAACATAAGGTTGTATTGAGTAAAACAAGTTTCAAAATTATATTGGTCCCCCATGTTAGAAAATCAACCATTAAAATTCAAAAGGGGTAGCATTTATCCAAGAACAAACTTATCCAAGTTAGGAAAGGAGGAAGGGAAGAAAGGAACACTTTGAGGAAATGGGATAAGCAGTAGTACATTGAGGAGATTGAAATGGATGAGTTGAAATAAAAAGTGTATAAACTGTCAAATAGAAAACTGATGATTTGCTCTGCAAACCTTCACCTAAATCACAGTTTCAAATTTTTTTAAAAAAAA